CCCCCACCACACCAACCCAATGTCAGAAGGGTCCACACAGAAAACCGAAGAAGGTGCTCTCCTTTCCCAGCAAGTATGGCATTAGGGAAGTCAAGTGAAGAACTCGCCCTCTGCAGGCTCCCAACATTCTGCTCCTGCAAATATCCATAGATGCAAAGAGGGAAATATGGATTTCCTCCCCTCCAGAGCAGTAATGAAGCCACAGTTCCTATACCTTACTGATACGTTACCAATAAAGATGGGCTACAATGGAATCTTTAAATAAGATTCAGTCTCTTAACATAATAACCTGAATATGCAAGATGTGGTTGAAAAGCATTCATTTTAGTGTCAAGAAGTCCTTAACTTGAATGATAATGTTAGGTAGGAAGTCAGAAATGAGCTTATGTGTATGTGACAAAGGCCTAAGCAGCTGACATCTAGGTCCAGCATCCACATCTCAAAGTCATCCCCATAACCTTCCAGGTGCAGCCCAGTATCTGCACTTCAAACGCCCTGCCCCTTCTATCCAATAACCATCCTTCATCTAAGGCTTATCTAAGGCGATGCCAGCCAGGCTTCCCCCCTGTCTGATAACTTCAGGGGGGAAACTCGGAAAGGAATGTTTCCTATTTAAATCCAAAAAGTCCTTTGCTCCAGGAGGAGAAGAGGCAGGAAGGCAAGACCCATCCCCTTAAATACCCCAGCCTCAAGGAGACTGCACGCTCAGCCCTCTGCCTCTTTGTTGAGCCCCCCACCTGATCAGTCCTGAAAAAACTGAGTAACCTCGTGAAACAAAAACAACAACAACGACAAAAAACAGAAGTAATGAGTTGACCTAATAACAATACTTACTGTGCAGTTTCAGCATTGTTTAATAGTCAAAAGACTAGATTCATAGATCAGTGGAACAGACAAGAGATCCCAAGTAACCAAATAACAGTGAAAAGAAATCGACTATTGAGCTCACCACCATTTAGGTCTCAGAGGTTAACTGCTCCCTGTGTGGAACAAACATTGCCAATCAGCAAAATAGATTCGTAGATATTAAGGATTATGTGTGGTGGGATAGAAGGGGATGGGTGTGACTATAAAGGAATAATACAAAATATTTTTGTAGTGATGGAATAATTCTATATAGGATAACATTCAGTTCCTTGCAATAATTTTGTACACTTGTGACAAATTGCATAAAAATATGCAAATACAAAATACCTATGCTAATTTCTTATATTTAATGTTGTGCTGTAGTTACATAACAATTGAGGAGAAGGGGGAGTACTCACGAATATAAAACTTCACTGTAATTGCTGCAACTTCCTACAAATGTATATATTTTTCACAAAAGAAAAATTTCATTTTTCATTTCTTTTTATAGAAAGCTTATTTTTAATAAATATAAATTTTATAAGTACAAGTTTGGGATAATAGCAGTTCTTCCCCCCATAACCGCCTTCCCACCCCCAAGCCATCCCATCTCCTACTCAATCTCCCAGTCTCCCAGCCCATTCTTCATTAAGATTCATTTTTAATTATCTTTATATACAGAAGATCAACTCAATACTAAGTAACGATTTCAACAGACTGCACCCACAGACACAAAAAGTATACAGTACTGTTTGAAGACTAGTTTTACCATTAATTCTCATAGTACAACACATTGAGGACAGAGGTCCTACATGGGGAACAAGTGCACCGAAACTCCTGTTGTTGATTTAACAATTGACACTCTTATTTATGACGTCAATGATCATCCTAGGCTCTTGTCATGAGCTGCCAAAGCAAGGGAAGCCTCTTGAATCCACAAGCTCTGACAATATTTGGACAGGGCCATAATCACAGTGGAAATTTTACATCTTTTTTTTTTTTTTTCACTCAAGGGTAAATGGTGAAGGGTGAATATTTTTCTACTCTATGATGTAACATGTAATTCACTAATCAGAATTTGAGATTTTGTGTTAAGAACCTAGTTTCTGTATTTGTATTTGAATTAAGAAAAAAACACTATTATGTTTAGTCAGTTTTACACAGTTCATAAATGAAGGTTAGGGAATAGGAGTCAGTGTCTTTAAAAAAGTATATCACTTTGATCCAAGATGCCACTTTAATGAAGTGAATGTATCCACAGCCATATTGTGGTCAAGTCAAGCCCTTGTAGAGTGTTTAGTTTTACTTTTAGGCAAGATGTTCCATAATTACAAACTAGATCAAAAAGGTTGATAGTACCAGGCAGATTATTTATGCATTTACCATTGTTCTAGCAGGGTGTTCTATAATTACAAACCAGATTGAAAAGGTTGAATGTACTGTTTAGATTAACTATGTCTTTACAGTAGTTCTATTTATATTTTATGTAGTTACTTCCTCTATTAGTGAGAATTTGGTTTCAAATACTTTTATGATATTATGGAATTATCTTTTGTTCCCTTTAAGTCTACTCAATTCTGCTTCATGTAAGCTGAAGGTGTGTTATTATACAAAATAATATTATAACTGCTAGGTCTTCCTAAAGAACTAAACTCTTGTAATGAAGTATCTCTGTTTATCTCTGGTAATAGTTCTCCTTTTTTTCCTTTTTTTGAATTTATTTAAGATACACAAATATCATGTATTTTAGGGACATAGTGATACTTCCCACCCCACTGATTCTTGCCCAAGATTCTGTACTTCTTCCTCCATTCTCTCTTATTCCCTCTCTTAATTTTTACAATGATCTGCTTTCAGTTACTTTATACTCACAAAATTAACCCTACACTAAGTAAAGAGCTCAACAAATAATAATAAGAAAAAAAAAACAAAACTGTTCCTCAACAGTACATACAAGGGCTGTAAACAATCATCAAATTGCAAAATGTCACTGTCACTCCTATATATTACACTTTTGGTACTCTCTTAGTTATCACAGTTAGAAAGCATATGCAATATGTCTTTTTGGGACTGTTTGTTTCCAGCTGAAACCATTTTGTTTCAAAAGACAGGATTTCATTATTTTTTACAGCTGAGTGGTATTCCATAGTAAGCATATAAAATATATATACATAGTAAACATAATACATATATATATCATAATTTATTTATCCAGTCATCAATTGATGGACATCTGAGTTGGTTCATTATCTTAGCTATTGTGAACTGAGCTGCAACAAATATAGGGGTACAGATAATTCTTTCTTATGTCAATTTCATTTCCCTTGGGTAAAATCCCAGGAATGGGATTGATGGGTCATATGGTAGATCCGTTTTCAGCTTTCTGAGGTGTCTCCATAATGTCTTCCACAGTGGCTGTGTTAGTTCACATTCCCACCAATAGTGCATTAAGTTACTTTTTCCCCCATATCCTTGCCAGCATTTCTTACATGTTGATTTCTGTATGAGAGACATTCTAACTGGGATGAAATGAAAGTTCATTGTGGTTTTAATTAGCAATTCCCTGCTGGCTAATCATTCTGAGCATTTTTTTTTTCCTGTGTCTATTGCCCATTTGAATTTCCTCTCTTGGAAAATGCCAATTCAAGTCCTTTGCCCATTTATTAACTGAATTTTTTGTTTTGTTGAGTTTCTTGAGCTCTTTATGGATTCTGGATATTAATCCTTTATCAGTTCCATAGTTTTCAAATATTTTCTCACATTCAGTCAGTTGTCTCTTCACTTTGCTGAATATATCTTTTGCAATGCAGAAGCTTCTCTGCTTGATGTAATCCCATTGGCCAATTTTAGTTTTGATTGCCTAAGCTTCTGGGGTCTTTTCAATCAAGTTTTTAACCTATGCCTATGTCTTGCAGAGTTTACTCAATATTCTCCTGTAATAATTTGGTGGAATCAGGTCACAGATTTTGATCTCTGATCCATTTTAAGTAGAATTTTGTATAAGGTGTTAAGGTAGGGGTCTTGTTTCATACTTCTGCATGCAGAGATCTCATTTTCTGAGCATCATTTGTTGAAGAGACTGTCTTTTCTCTGGGGATTGATTAGAGTGCCTTTATCAAGGATAAGTTGGTTGTAAATGTGTGGGTTGATTTCTGGAATTTCTATGCTGTTTCATTAGTCTACATGTTTATTTTTGTTCCAGTACCAGACTATTTTGATTATATGTGCCTTTTAGTATGTCTTAAATTGGTAATGTGATACCTCTATCTTTGTTTTTGTTGTATAGGATTGCCTGAACAATTCAGGATCTCTTGTGTTTCCATATGAATTTTATCATCATTTTTTCTAAATCTGAGTAGAATGTCATTATTTTGATTGGGAACCCATTGAATATGTATATTGCTTTCTGTAGGATGGACATTTTGATGATATTAATTCATCCAATCCACAAACATGAAAGATTTTCCATTTTTCTGTGTCTTCTATTTGTTTCTTTAATGTTTTATAATTTTTCATCATAGAGATCTTTTACCTCCTTAGTTAAGTGTATATAAAGCTATTTATTTTTTGCAGCTATGGTGAATGCGATTGATCTTACAAATTTATTCTTAGCTGTAGAATTTTCTTGTATACAAGGGCTATTGATTCTTGTGTGCTAATTCTAAATCATTTCTTTTTACCAAAGTCTTTTATGCATTCCAATTATCTCTTAGTTGAGTCTTTTGGTTTCCAAATATACATAGAATCATGTCATCTGCAAGTAGATATGATTTTATTTCCTCCTTCCCAATTTGTATCCCTTTGATTTTTTTTTTCTCTTGCCTAATGACTCTGGCTAAAACTTCCAGGACTATATTGAATCGCAATAATGAAAGTGGGCATCCTTTTCTGGTTCTGGATCTGAATGAAAATGCTTCCAACTTTTTCTATTCAATAAGATACTTGCTATGATTTTGTCAAAAATTGCATTTATGGTTTTCTCTTGAAGTCTAAAGTACAGCACATCAATATAACTACCATAGCCAACTCATACTTTCCAAATTTATGAATATTTTTAATTTTTGATATAACATCTTTAATTTACATTATAGTCAAAACCTTATCACCCCACTAACTAAAGAATTCCACAAAGCAAAAAGACCAGAGTTCAGCAGAAAAGTATGGAACACTTCATGAAATTGCACCTCATACCTGTGCAGGAGCTATGTTGATGTTCTCTGTATCATTCAAATTTTAGTATTAGTGTTGTTGAAATGAGCACTACCAAAAATCTGTTAACATCCATTGACATTCAGTACATTTGTATGTTTATATTTAAAATATATATTTTTAAAATAATTATCTTTTATCTTGTGATACCTACGTAATTTTTCTTCACTTAATCCTAGTGAAAATTCTTTGAAATATATCTTCCCATATTTTGAAGCTGGCTAATTTTTGTATAACAATAAATTATGACTTTTAATGGTATCATTTACTCCTTTAATATTTAATGTATTTATAGAAACATTTGGGTTTATGTTTACCACTTAAAAATATATTTTCTTGTCTTCATTCTTGTATGTTGTTAATTTAGTCTTGCTTTCATTATATCTTTTGGATTTTTTCCATGCAATTGCTTGAATGAATACATCATTTTTTAGTTCAATAGCATACATTATAATGAAGTTTTGAATAACACAGAAACTATATTCTAGATATAACTGCTTTCAAATTGCACTAAATTTCTATTCACTCATTCTTTTGAAAATTATTTTGTTTTTTCATATTTTAGATAAATATGCAAGAAATTTTTCTGACACTACATTTCATTGAAATATACATTTATTAAAATCAAATTAAGTTTCTCAAATTATGCTTTCTAACATGTATTGTGTTTGACTATTTGATATCTTTAAAATAGTTAATTTACAGGCAAAGCCTTAATACATGAATTTTGGGTTCTGGCCCCACAGTAACTGTAATCAAATTCCATCCTTACCATCAACTGATCCAAAGCATTTTATGCAGCCTTTCTTTGTCTTTTTTTCTCATCTCTTCTACAAATCAAACTCTGGTTGCAGAAGATGTAAGCCATTAATATTTAACCCAAAAGGAATTTATTTCAGGGCTTTCAGAGTAATAAACCAGTGTATAAGAACTGGAAAGCTCGGCCGGCGCTGCGGTTCACTAGGCTAATCCTCCACCTGCGGTGCTGGCACACTGGGTTCTAGTCCCAGTCGGGGCGCCAGATTCTGTCCTGGTTGCTCCTCTTCCAGTCCAGCTCTCTGCTGTGGCCCGGGAAGACAGTGGAGAATGGCCCAGGTCCTTGGGCCCTGCACCCACATGGGAGACCAAGAGGAAGCTCCTGTAGGAAGCTCCTGGCTTCGGATCCACGAAGCGCGCTGGACGCAATGCACCTGTCGTACTGGCCACTTGGGGGGTGAACCAATGGAAAAAGTAACACCTTTCTCTCTGTCTCTCTCTCTCTCACTGTCTAACTCTACCTGTCAAAAGAAGGAGAAGGAGAAGAAGAAGAAGCTGACCTCTCAGGAAACCGGCTGGCAAAGGTGCTAATTCAGTAACTGGTGGGAGAGCCATGTTGTCTATTATACAACCAGGAAAAGTTTCCATCAGGGAGCTGCCATTGTAGCTCTTAGTGCAAACTCCCTGTAACATTAGGGCCTATTTCTTACATTGTAACAGAGTTAAATATCTTAACGCAGGTAGCACATGTGGTACATTATTAGCAAAACATTGTATTGAAGTTTTGTTTTCCTTTGAGATTCAGGAGATGGTATATACCATTGTTGTTTCTTTCTTTTTTTAAATTTATTTATTTATTTGAAAGAATTACACAGAGAGGAAAGACAGAGAGAGAAAAAAAGAGAAAAAGGTCCTCCATCCGCTGGTCCACTCCCCAGATAGTTGCAATGGCTGGAGTTGCACCTATCCTAAGCCAGGAAGCCAGGAGCTTCTTCTGTGACTCCCACATGGATGCAGGAGCCCAAGGACTTGGGCCATCTTTTACTGCTTTCCCAGGCCATAGCGGAGAGCTGTATCAGAAGTGGAGTAGCCAGGTCTCGAATCAGCGCCCATATGGGATGCCAGACTTGAGGCCAGGGTGTTAACCTGCTTTACCACAGCACTGACCCCTTATTGTTTCTTCTAAACCTGAATTTTCTTAGGAGAAAAACTGTCTCCTAAAAGTTGCAAATATAAACTGTATTACAGACTAAACTAATATATGCTCCAAAAAATTAAGAAAATTAACTATGAACTTAATTTTTAGGGTCATTGTGTAATTTGTCTACATAATTTTTACTCTAGAAACTATTTGCTAGATATTATCTTTTACTTATTGCAATGACATAAACAAAGAAATATAACAAGGCCCTAATATAATACTTTAAAAATCAAAAAGCTAAAAACCAGGAAATAATAAATATTTAGTTGTCATTTTATTATAATCATTATATATACTGAAATGTGTAGTTTTAGGATTCAAAATACTGTCATAATTACTCATATTTAGATGATTATTTATGTATCTTTGGACATGGGTGAAGGGCTGTTCATGTTATATTTTGCAAAGTATGGTTTCTATTTGATTTTAAGTACATTTTATTCCTTACAGTCTAAAATTTAAATTAGGCTTAATATTTGTGGGTGTGGAAATTAATTCATATAATGTTATTGTTGTATATTAAATATCATTGCAAATCATATTTAAACTTCATGATATGTGAAATTTCGGTTAAAATTTAAGTATGAATGATGCATTAAACCTGATTTGCACACTATTTAAAGATTCAAATTAAATATTATAAATAATTCTAATGTAAGTTCATTAATCCAACTAAAGTCTCAAAATGTGTGTAGCTACAACTTCATTTCATTTGAATTGGTTTGCATGCTGAGTTCATCTCCAGGAAAAAAATTATAATTCATGACAGCAGATTTCCTATACTGTACAAATACTCTCCAAAGCAATAGTTAGAAATGCAGCAACATATTTCATTAAAACAACAAATATAATCAATTTAATGAGACATACATATTGACTAAAAAGAAAGTTATGACTTCATAAGGTTAGAATTTAAACTGTATAATATAATATGGATGTAAAAATCAGTAATTTGGGACCGCCACATGCAGTGCCAGTAGCAAGGAGGGAAGCTGCATATTAAGACATCCTCTTTGGACTCCAAATCCTAGAGAAGTGAGAGTAAATCTCCAAAGAAAAACAGCTTCAATTTAGATCTCAAGAATTTCCAGTTTGTGATCAAACAAATATGACTCAATACAAAAAATCAACCAATAAGCTACTAAGCAAAATGCCATGAATGGAATGAACACAAGACAGGCTTTGACTAGCTGAAATGTTAAAATTATTTGAAACCTGTGAATATTTTTTCCTATGAATGGAACTTTAAAGAAAAAAAATTAGCATTATGGAAATGAGTAACCAGTAGACACATTTATTTATTTTTTCAAAAGATTTATTTATTTATTTATGGAAAGGCAAAGTTACAGAGAGGCAGAAGCAGAGAGAGGTCTTCCATTCCCTGGTTCACTCCCCAAAAGACTGCAGTGGCCAGAACTGAGCGAATCCAAACCAGTAGCTTCTTCTGGGTCTCCCAGGTGAGTACAGGGGCCCAAGCACGTGGGCCATGTTCTACTGCTTTCCCAGGCCATAGCAGAAAGGTGAATTGGAAATGGAGCAGCAAGGACTGGAACCGGCACCCATATGGGATGCCTACACTGCAGACGTGGCTTTACCTGCTACCCAGCAGCTCCAGTCCCCAGGAGACACATTTAAAATAGAAACAAACAGGAGTTTTAAGTTAAAAATATAATGAAATAACACTAAAATGTGGATTAAATGGTGCAGGAAATGTTCCTGAAAAAATAACACAATTGAAAGAACATTCTAACTAACATAACGAAAACTGAACTGCAAGAAACAATGAAATATGACAGCTAAAAGAGGTTTAAGGATATATAGAATACATAAATCTAATAATCATATATTTCATCAATATTTTAGAAGGAGAAACTTAAGGAAAGAGAAATATTATTTGAGAGATAAAAAGTAAAATTAAAAATGATGAAAGATCTACATTCCAGAAACCGAGTGAGTATCAACTAGGGTGAATAAAATAAACACACATGCAGAGGAACCAGAATGAAACTGCAGATATCAATTTATAAGAAATATATTTTTGTTTGTCTACTTGAGGAATAACTGACAAAGGCAGTTAGTATATATTTAAAGTGTAGCTGATTATGATATAAAAATGCATTGTGAAATAATCTCCCCAATTAAATGAATTAACATAGCCATCCTTCACACAGTCACAATTTTCTTTTTTATATGTGGTAAAACAGTTAAGAGCCACCCTGTTGGAAAATTTCAAGTGTACAGTAAAGTGCGATTACTTCAGTCATTGTTTCAGCACACTAGGTCTTCAAATTCTGCAAATGTGCAACAGAGGTTTGCATTTGCTGATCAAAACTTCCCATCCTCCAAAAACTACCATTGTGTCCTCTACATCTATGACTATCACCGTTTACAACTTCAAATATAAATAGTTTACATGCATTTTTACTGTTTACAAATTCAAATAAATGCAATCATGTGCTAATGGGATACACAAAATAATGAGAAATTAAAATGTCAGAAACTGGAATTTTGAATTCAGAAAATATACTTTCAAACATATGGGTTTCTTTATAAGTATGAATAATCATAGTAAATTTTGAAGGAGTTAAAAAGAAAAAAAACTTTTGAAAAATGGCACAAAATTCATAAATTGTTAACAGTTAAAGCATTCTGAAGTCTTTATATTTTGAAAATTTTATATTTTTGAAGTGCTGTTAAAGTGTATGTGTTATACTTGGATAGGCACAATTTCCAAATTGTGACATTTATAAAGAAAAATTATAAACTGGATTTCAAAAAAATAAGGAGAAATGGAATGAAAGGTAAAAAATGTTTATAATAGCTACCCTCAAAAATGCTAGAAAGTCAAGAGATGCACAAATAAAGTGTGAACCTATTGAGCAAAATGCTGAAAGATATTTAATGGATGGGAATTCTCAGAAAAAACTAAATTTGAAAGCAAGATAACTGCAAATTAGACGTTTAAAACTTAAATATGGGCACTGGGGATGTGGCATAGTGGGCAAAGCCACCACCTGCAGTGCCGGCATCCCATATGGGTGCCAGTTCATGTCCCAGCTCCTCCATTTCTGATCCAGCTCTCTGCTATGGCCTGA